CACTGCAAACCAACCGACAGTAAACGAGGCGTTTGTTACCTGTGTGGCGATACCGCCCATTTCAAACGCGATTGTCCGCGGTTTTCAAACCGACAGAAACGGACAACACGGTCCTTTGCCCCGAGGGCAGCACCGAGCGCGATTCCGCCCGGTATTTCCTGCCAGGGTTGCGGAAGGCACGGCCACGCGCTTCACGAATGCTGGAGAACGCCAGTCGCAGCAGGGGGCATCGCTCCCTCGAGCCCCGCACGCGATAATTCTGGCGCTGTTGGGAACACTACAGCAGTGCCTGGTCAAGAAGCAAGCCCCAAACGCGCTTCAGTGATCAAAATCGAAGTCGAAGGACGCAGTGTATGGGCCCTCGTTGATTCCGGAGCCGATGCGTCAATGATTGGACAAGAATTCGCCCGAGCGGCTGTACAGAAAGGAGCGTCCCACAAAGGAAATTTTGGAACAATAACGCAGGCAAACGGGCAGAAAATACAGGTCAACACACAAGCAGAAGTGTCGTTCTCGATACAAACCTCGCAGTTCATCCAGCCTATGTTGGTCATTCCAGGCTTGATCTACCAGGTCGTTCTCGGCCGAGACTTCTGCTGCCAGCACAAAACAGTGCTAGATGACAGGGCAGGGGTTTTCAGAGTGGGGAACGTCGAGATTCCTTTACCAACATATTCTGAGTTACGACCGCTACGAGCAAGGGTGGTCACTTGTGCCTCAGTCACCATCCCCGCTAGGTCTCAGACCCTCGTTCAGGCCGAGGTCGAGATCCCAGATGGAGGCGTTAAAATCACTAAAGAAGCCACTTGGGAGGGTGTTCTAGAACCTCACTCAGTTGAGAGCAGCCAAGAGTGGAGGGTCCCTCGTTTAGTTACAGAAGTGACGAGCGAGGCAACCGTGCCGATTCAGGTCGCCAACATCGGGGGCAAAGCAGTAACGATCCCTCCAGGCACAGAAATCGGTACACTGTACTCTATTCAAGAAAATGGCAAGGGTATGTACGACGTCCCGAGCTCTTCAGCGGCTTCAGCTGAACTCAGTGCAGGGACGCTCGATGATCTCTTAAGCGAACTCAAACTCGAGTCTACTGCCCTTTCAGAGAGTGGCAAGACCTCGCTAACACAACTTGTGTCACGATACCAGGATATCTTCAGCACGGGAGAGTCCGACATTGGAAAAACAAAACTTCTACAACATCACATCGAAACTGGAGGCGCGGCTCCGATCCGACAAAGGCCACGACGGATCCCAATGAAACTAAGAGAAGAGGTGGAAAGACAAAAGGAAAAGATGTTGAAAGAGGGAATAATCGAGGAGAGTTCCAGCCCTTGGTGCTCACCCATCGTTCTGGCCAAGAAAAAAGACGGCAGTTTCAGATTCTGCGTCGATCTTCGAGCAGTGAACTCTGTCACCCAAAGTCTGCCAGTCCCTCTCCCGAGGGTGGATGACAGCCTCGACAGCCTCGCGGGGGCAAGCTTGTTCTCCACCCTCGACATGGCCTCGGGCTACTGGCAGGTTGATGTCGCTGAAAAAGACCGAGAGAAAACCGCTTTCAGCACGGGAAAAGGCTTGCACCACTTCCGGTCCATGCCTTTCGGCCTCAAGAACGCTGGAGCCACGTTCCAACGACTGATGGAACTAGTGCTGGCTGGAATGGACTCAAAAAGCTGCCTGGTGTACATAGACGACATTATTGTCTTCGGAAAGGATCAAGACGATCATCTCAAGAATCTGGAGGAGGTCTTCCAAAGGATCAGGACAGCAGGGATGAAACTTAAGCCAAGGAAGTGCTGTCTAGCCCGCGACGAGGTAGTATTCCTCGGACACAAGGTGGGGAAGAGCGGTGTGGAGCCAGACCCAGCAAACATAGAGAAGGTGCGTCACTGGCCTCGACCACAGAAAGCCGAAGAGCTGAAGAGTTTTCTAGGGCTCGCAGGATACTACTCGCGATTCGTGCCCAACTATTCTGACCTCGTGCGACCCATCAGAGAAGCTGCTGAGAAAAAGGGTACTGTAGAATGGACTGAAGAGCTGGTGGAAAGCTTTGAAAGCACTAAAACGAAGCTGACGTCGGCGCCAATCCTCACCCTGCCAACCTGCAAGGGCGAGTTCAAGGTTGCAACCGACGCCTCCAATACTGCAGTCGGAGCGGTGTTGACGGAGACCATCAACGGCGATGAGAGGGTGATCGCCTACGCCAGCAAGGTGCTCAACAAGAGTGAACGTCGATGGCCGACGTACGACAAAGAGCTGTGGGCCATCGTGTGGGCTGTCAGACATTTCCGGCAATACCTCGCGGCCACCAAGTTCACTGTCCTGACAGACCACAAACCACTCAAAAACGTCCCAAAATCTATCAACGTCGACGGCGATGCCACCGGTCGGAGAGGTCGGTGGGCCATTGAGCTCAGTACTTACGATTTTGTCGTTGAGTACCGCAAGGGCAGCGACAATGGTAATGCTGACGCTCTGTCGAGGCCCGTCCTTGACGTCACTGACTCCACAGCTGAAACGGAGACCAAAGAGCTGCTGGCCGCCGACCACAAGGGCGGTCGAGAAGACATCCCCCTCGAAAAGCTACAATTGGAGCAGGAGCTCGACCCCTTACTGGGTGAGGTCAGAAACTGGCTGGAAGCAAAGAAGCTCCCTTCTAAAAAAGAACTGCAGAAGAAGAACAGCTCACTACGTAGCATGGCTCGATTTTTCGACCAGCTCACGATGGAAAACGGGATTTTGAAGCTAAGGCGACATGGCAACAGCTCAGTCATTGTCCTTCCAAAAATCTATCATGAGACAGTCCTGAACATGCTACACGACGATGAGGCTGCTGGTCATCTGGGAACCGACAGAACTCTCGAGAGAGCAGCAACCAGGTTTTTCTGGCTGGGGATGAGCGGGGACATCGCCCGCTACTGCGAAACTTGCGAGACCTGTCAACGACGCAGTCGCCCAGCACCACAGATGCAAGCAACTCTCCGAACCGAATCCTATTCGAGGCCATTTGAAAGAGTGGCTATCGATATCACCGAGATGCCGATGTCGGCTCGCGGTAATAGGTACGCTTTAGTAGCAATGGACTACTTTACCAAATACGTCTTTGCCTACCCCATGCAGAACCAGACAGCTGAAACTGTATCTGACTGTCTTCTGGACATGGTACTGCGGCAAGGGGTGCCAGAACGCCTTCACAGCGATCAAGGTCGCCAGTTTGAGTCTGCGGTCTTCCAGTCCCTGTGCAAACGACTAGGAATCGAAAAAACTCGGACATCACCCTATCGGCCTGAGAGCGATGGCATGGTGGAGCGCTTTAACCGCACGCTCAAGGACATGTGCTCGAAATTTATCAAACCTTGCGGATCTGATTGGGACGAACATTTGGCTTTCCTCACCTTCGCATACAACACGTCCAAACACTCGGTGACCGGATTTACCCCATTTTTCCTGGTGCATGGGTATGAGGCACGCCTGCCAGTCGATGAGCTTTTCAACCAGAGGCGCGAGGTGTCGATGGTCGACACGCATGTCGAAAACAGGCTGCGCCAACTCAGAGACGCATACACCAAGGTTCACGAAAACATCAACAAAGCCTCCAACGACATGACAAAAACACAAAACGAGTCGGCGCGAGAGGTTGAATATGTGCCAGGTCAAAAAGTGTGGGTGAGGGACCATACGGCTCACGTCGGAGGTAAACGTAAGCTGGCCCTTCATTACAAAGGCCCTGCGACCATTCTAAGAAGGCACGGTCCGGAAGGAGACGGAGTCACCTACAAGGTCAGCATGCCCGGTGGTAAGGAGACCAACGTTCATCACAATCATCTGAAACCTATGAAACTTCGGAGGAAAGATGATCCAGCCGAACGGCCAGCTGCACCCGAGCAACACGGACAGCGGACCACTGACGAGACTACGCCTGACGAACACAAACAAGGGACCGACGAGCGCGTATCTCAGGACTCTAACATCATTACGAAGAGTAGTCCATTCATACACTTTTTGCAGGTGCCCAGTGACACGGCTGTGGAACAAACGCCACAACCGACGAGCACATACGTCACACGATACGGGAGAGTATCCCGGCCTCCGGTAAGATACCCCGCTCTGTAAATAGGTACGCTTGTTGAAACGACTGCATTAAAAACCGTTGTCAAACTCTCTGCATCTCTGTGTACTCCGGCACGGTACCTACTTTTTATAAGCATACACACGTCAGACTTGTTCGATTGTGTGTGACCAAAGTGTGCGACATGTTCTGAGCCAAGGTATCATCGGCAGGCCTGAACCTCGAGGGGGTGAAGCGCGAGGTGGCGTCCCACCGCTGAGACGCAGGTGCGGCGCTCGATTTTCGACGCCATCACCAGCGCAGACGTCAGCAGCGCCAGATGTCGCCAGCGTAGCCGTCACCAGGCGGACGTCACCGGAGCGGACGTCACCGACTGCAGCGCCGCAGACCGAGCAGCTGATGCCACTGCTGCAGCTGATCGCGGCCGATCGCGGTCGAAGCAGCAGTTTCGTCGCGTTGTTTTATAGTGCAAAGAATAAGAGACATTTTATTTAGGGGGGAGGTGTGTTAGGAAGTGTTAGTGGATCGTGTGCCCGTTGCCTCCCCTCGGCGCGCTGCTGAACGCGCCTCTGCGGGCCGCCTCCCTCTGAGCGCGCCGCTGCGACCGGCGGCGCGGGGTCACGGCCGCAGCCGGGGGCGGCGGTGATTCGGAGCCGGGGAGCCGCCACGCGTGGGTGCTGCGGTGCTGCTGCTGCTGCCGCTTCTGCTTGTGGAAGCTCCAATACACCTACCAAATGGAGACGCTGCCTTTGGCCTAACATAAGTAAATAAATAAATAAATAAATAAATAAGTAAATAAATGAATGAATAAATAAATGAATGAATAAATGAATGAATGAATAAATGAATAAATAAATGAAAAAATAAATAAGAACAAAAATTAGGTAACGCTAGATCTGTGGCTTCCCCCAAAGCGTAGCCAGCGCGTGGTTCTCACCAAAGGCTCCGGCTCGATGTGAGGGGGTTCTGCCGGGTCGGCGGCCAGCGCCTCGGTGTGACTGACGACCAGCTGCATGAACTCCTCCTGGTCGTGGACGTCCAGCAGCCGCTGGCGCAGCTCCATATCGGCCACGATGGTGGCGAACGTGCGCGCCGTCTCCAGGGCGTTCTTGGTACCCTTCTGTGGACCGAAGTGACGGTGAGACGCGGCGACCCGGTAAGACGACAGACTCGGAAAGCCGATGCTGCTTACGGGCATAATATCTGACATTCGTATAACAAAGATGCGCGATGCTCCATCTAGGGTTGATCCCATTATTACGTTAGCCCGCGCCCCGAGGGGGGAATACTGCCGCACAAATCCCGTTGGGGAGGGGGAGAAGGGACTGCCCAATGCTCCCAGCAAATTTCCCCTGTCTGAATTCCGAACAGATGGTCGTAAAATGATGGGAAAATGACAATCAGAAACAGGTCAGGGCAAGGCCAGGTAAACATAAAAAGTGTATGCTTTTTTTAAAGAAATGTTTCACACCAGTGACGTTTTCATACAATGGTAGCTGTAAACCCGTGTTTACTGTAGGTGGATCGACAAAATCAAAAGTGAAGAACGTTACATTATATTAAACTTTAGGATAACATTTTAGCAGAGCTGGAGCGCAACCTCACTCCTTGAGCTCTCGATCCAGACTCCCCCAGTCCCCGCCCACAGTCAGCCGAACACCTGGCCGTGATCAGCTGAAAGGGCGAAAACATAGTGCACCATGAGATGCTCCGATCGCGGCATCCGCTATATAAAACATTTTACTAATTGGTCAGTAAAGCCGCTAAGCATGAACAAGACTGAGTGTTTACCATTCTAGTAATATGCCGTACATAATAAACACATTTAATTGCATATCTAGGACAGCTTTGAGTTCATACCTGAAGCAACAATTGAGTAGCAGACGATCACGCGCAAAACCGTTGAATTAAATTATTGTCCAGAGTCTGGATGACCCGGTGACCATATGATGTCTGGACTCCAGACAGGTCACCGGGCTCCTCTCGGCGGTGATACAGTTAAACTTTAATCGGCGTAAAGCTTGCCGATTACAGTAGCTTCCGAAGGTTAGTGCCATCTTGGCTAGCAATGTGTATGTATTTTGCGCAATTGTAAGCCAATGGGAAAACTTTTAAAGGCGCCTTTTTGGACGAACGTCATTTTAAACACTCTCAAACACTGAGTTTTAAGCAAACATGACACACTGAACCGTAAAATAGCACCCGCGACGCGACCAGTCCTTAACCGGGCCGGGTCCGGGAGTAATCCCGACCTCCACAACCCGGGGAGGAGGGCGTATTGCGTAAGCGTTTTTCGCCCCCTCCCCTGTCAAAGTCCGTAAATAATGGAAATACGGAAACAAAAGCCGTACCAAACGAAGGTTCCTTAAGAGACGAAGCTTAAGCACCTAAAATGTTTGACCTCAGGTCGACTTTATGGTCTGAGGTCAGGGTCAAGGGGAAAACCGGCACATGTGTGGACGTGATCTCAACGTAAGTGTTCTAGGGGAAGGCACGATGCATAAAACCGACTTAAATGGATGTGAAACGAAAAAAAAGGAATCTGAGAAATTCCGGTAATGTGCCTAACATTCAAGTTCAAGGTCAATGTCAGGCTCAAAATTGACCTCAAACTTTGCACTTTTTCGTATATCTTGTATACTTAAAGTCAAGATGGTTTGAAATGTTTTGAGGCTTATCAGGCCCGTATTTGTGGTTCATCTAAAATACAAAGCTGCTTCGAGGTCGCGGAAGAGTATTGTTGCTAGAGGCTATTTCACTGATTCAAGACAGTCATATTAATTCAGACGGTGCGAGCGACTTTAGCGAGTGTCATTTGAGCGAACGTCATTTGAGCGAACCATTTTCAGCGACTGGCAACTTAGCGAATATCAAATTGAGCGATTATCAAATATAGCGATTATCAATTTAAGCGAAAACTATGTTTCAGCGACATATTTTTCATCGACTACAGTTTGAGCGACTGTCATTTCAGCGAAACACTTCATCGTCCCGTAACGGTGTATTTTTTCTTTTTTTCTTTTGCGAGCGTTCGTGCAACGAATGCTTCCGGAACTTTTCATGGTTATCCGGAACTGGATGGCGGATGTCACGTCCAAAGTTCAGACGTTAAGCTCCAAATTTAATGCCACATGTCTAAAAAATTACATCGGTTCGATTTCACCCCCTCCCCCCCCCCCTGCTGTTTGCCAATAATGATGACCAAACGTTTGTTCAGAGATTCATATTGCTTGTGCTGTTTTTTCGCGAAATTCCCCTGCTTGAGTTTGGATCAGTTCCCCATGTCAGGGGCGCGGGAACTACTTTCCGACTGGGGGGGCACACCATAATAGAGATTAACCTAGGGTACCCCCAAATCTAGGTTTCTCACCGGTTTTAGGCCACTTATTTTTCACCCCTCGGATTTTTCAACAAAAAAAGAAAACATTTGCAAAAAAGTGTGGTATTCCGTCTCAAAGCTATGGGGGCACCGCCCCCACGGCCCCAGAGTTGGGGGGGGCAAGCTGCCCCCACTGCCCCCCCGGCTCCCGCGCCTATGCCCCATGTTGTAAAATGTGTTCTTGCCCCAAGCACCGTACGAATTTCCAGATATTTGGGTGAGGTCCATGAAACATAGACTGGATCCCCATGTGCCATCCCTCGAGTTTATTATTGGTCCTTGGCATTCCTTCCATCGTCCTATCTCTCACGTTCCACATTTCCAGATCAAAGTGAGGCCAGATATTTTTGTGGTTTCCAAGCTTAATTTGCCGCGCGCAGCTTGAAGCATGACACATACCAAGCGGGTATTCCAAGGGCAAGAATTCCCGAAAAGTAGCAAATGATTGACTTCCGTCGCGTTCGGTTTCGCTGTAACTGTGTTCGCTCAATTGGTCCCCCATTGACCTCCATATATTCGCTCAATCTGGTTTCGCTGATTCTGGTCCTCGCTTAAGTTGATAATCGCTGTGATTGAATTCGCCGACTTGACAATCGCTGAAAAAGTCAATCGCTTAAATTGATAATCGCTGAAAAGGCTTCGCTCAAACATGGGCGTAGGAACGGCTGGAACATTAAGGGTGCAGAAATCCCGCCATGGCCGGTGAAGCGGGGGGGGGGGGGGTAGGGAGCGACACCTGAGCGAAGAATCGTTACGAGCTTTGAGGGTGTACCATGTCGAAAAAAGGTATGTACCGACCGATAAGTGCATTTGGAAGCATTGACCCTCGCATGTGTAGGGGTCGTTTTTTGTAGGAGGTGTAGTTTTACACCTACTCTGAAAATTTCATGACCCTGACCCAAAAGACCTTTGACCTGTGACCTGATTCTCGAGACCATGTTCGGCCGGATTCGCGATTTGGCGTATGTCAGCTCACATTATCCGCGCGTTTCCAGTCTTTTTGTGATTGTAGACATCCAAACGTGTGAAATGATATTCTTCCCATGCATCACGGTGGGTGTGAAGGTCACCTGAAGGTCAGGTCAGGTCATTGACCTTTGATGACCTCGGTTCACTTTTTCGAGTTTTACATGTTTCTAGGGTAGTTTATCGGGCTGATTTCGCATTTAGCATCCATTTGAACGTTTACGAAGTAGTTTTAGTGCCTTCGTAACATGCTACGACGCCGTCAATGGTAGTTGACACCTACTATGGATAGCCGGTAGGACGCCTAATGGTTGACCTGACCTGACCTAACTCGATCTAGCCTAAATGCATGAAGAAATAATCTGTGATCAAAACTAACATCAGATATTCGTGATCAGCACCCCGAAAAAAAAAACGATAAAAGATTCACTTTACGCAGTTCTAGCAGGTCCCGATTTTACCGACTTTTGGAATATTGACCTGACCTGGAAGGTCAACCAATGACCTAGGACCTTAAAATTGGGTATCATCGGCTTCTTCTCGTCAAAAAAACGGCAGGGGGGTCCGACCGACCCCCCCCCTCCCCCTACACATTAGAAGCTGGAAAACGCCGCACACATGCGAGGGTTAATATTGTCATTTTGTCAATATTGACTACCGTAAAGTTTACCAAAAAGTAAAAGCGGTCAACTTAGCCATTTTCGAAGATATCGGGCTAAAAATTTTGACAGTGGGTCATCGGTTCGATATGTGTTCAATCACATGCTCCATTTCCCTTTTTCCAGCACAAATGTAAGTTTTGAAGACCATCACAGTAGCAAATGCTTCGAAAGATGGATAGTAGGCAACATATCCTGAATTTGCCGTGCTGCATGGGAAGTAGTGTTGATGAGAAAAGGGTTTTTGGTTCAGATTATTGTGGGTGCAGAATACATTGTCTGCACCCACTGGATAAATATTGTGGGTGCAGCTGCACCCTTGCACCCATGGTTCCTACGCTTATGCGCTCAAATGTCGTTCGCTGAAATGACGCTCGCTCAGGTGTCGCAGAACCTAATTCAGACGATTTTGCCACCCTGAGGCTTTAGAACGCTTAGAGAAAATGGATGTCATATTCGTGATCCGCGGCTACGATTCCATCATATAAGGCCTTTAACGCAGATATCTCGCAGGCCCTAAGAGAAAAAGCTCGCTGCAAAAACTGAGCACTTCAAATAACGCCAAATCCTAGTCAAATGGATAATTAAACCAAATAGTTATTTTCTACGCAAATTTCTCACATTAATTTTTCTTAAAGCGTTTTAGGGACCATTAGATATGTTGGCCCCCCTTTCAGGTTTTTTTAGGGGGCATGGTCCCGGTACCCCGCTCCAGATCCGCCAGTGTTGACACCTGATGACGTCACAGGGTCGATTTTTTTAGACCCCTGCACGGCAAGCTTCAGCATCACAGACGTGAACCTCAAATAGCTGCGAAAGACAGAGTTTTAGAGATTAAAACAAATACTGAGAACAGTTGTGTAGCGTTTGACATAGGAAAAAAGGAAAATAGTTTCGGTAACCTGAGCAGAGGTCGACAAAATCTCTGACCATCTGACCCTAGTCAGAGAAAAATAAGCGAGCGAAAGTCACCAAAAGTAGAAAATATCACAGAAGACATTCTAGGATGAGCACAGTCAACAATTGTTACATTCATGCACCTATGTCATAGACTAGCAACAGCACAAATAACAATTTAGTGACCACGCTTTTCTACCATTTCTCCACTTTCTCCCTAGTCAGAGCTGGTCTGATCCGGTCAGAAGCAGTTCTGTGTCTATTAGGTCTATTTCTCTATCAAGTCATAGGCAAATATCGCTCTTATTGGCAGTCGGAGAAAGTGGTGTTTTTGTGGAGCCCTTTGTTTTCTTCAGTTGCCGGACTCTTGAGACTAGAGAAATGATAGTTGGGAATTATCAATAATAGTCGCTATTTCTTGCGACGTTTATTGCATATCTGAAGGAATTTCTACATATACGAAGAAAGGTCTCAAGAACGATACATTTTATGATTTGGAAGCAAATGAGAGCGTTGAAAACGCGCCATGTTTGTGCGGCCGGTGCGGCACGTTGTGCGTGGTCTTGGTTGTGCGTGTGCTGCCCGTGGGGTTCCGTGAATCATGCTAGTGAGGATTACATTTGTAATATTTGTTCCGACTCACGAGACTTTCGTCATTTGTGTATGACTGCCCGTATACTGCAGTGGTTGCGTTCTAGCGTGGTGGATAGGTATCCAAATTCGTCATTTCTCACAATCGTCGAAGAAACGGCTGTCCCGTAGCTCAGTTGGTAGAGCATTGGACTCCCGGTAGTGAGAACCCGGGTTCAAGACGCTCCGGCGCTCGATATTTGAGACTCCTGACGGGGATGATCTGCGGTTGGTGGGAGCAAGGCCCTATACATATACCGGTGGCCGGTGGGAGCAGCCGCAGCTAGTTGAAGTCAGTTGAGTGGGACAAGCCGTGTTCGGCTTTGAAGGGCACGTTAAACTTTGGCATCTAAATTCTCCCGCTACCCGGAATTGCGCGATCGGACGGACGGTAGGGGTCGGGGTCTACGCAACAAGTGACTTGTTGCTGAACAAGCTCTGCTTAGCGTGGGGTCCGGCTCTGTCAATCCGTCCATTCAAACATTCGAGCTATTTTTTTAAATGGCTGGAGAAAATTGGCCGGTAGTCGGAGAAACTCCATGAATTTTGTCGAACTCTGCTGAGGTCAGAGGTCAGGTCAACAACCCCGAGGTGGGGTTAAGTTATTCGCAAATAGCTGCAGCAACAATGGTCGTAGAGCTACGGCAATAGCACTAACGCATTAAATGGCGCCCCTCTCAAGGGAAAAAGTCGCCACCTCGAGCACCATGCCCCCCCCCCCCTTTCGCTGATCTCTGGCTACGTCACTGAGTGCGATTTATGGCATATTTCTATATTTACCAATTGCCATGTTATATTTTGCTTTTTTAGCGGCTCACATCGATTTTGTTCTAAAAATAACGCAAAAAAACAGCCAACAGTGATGTGACTTTTACGCCTAGTTTCCTTTTAAAAATGATGTAATTTCATTCAAACATATTTCTTGGTCAGTTTTGTGACAAAGTTTTTGAAATATAGTGCAGCCGAAAACCGGATGCAACCGGATGATGTCATTACTTGGGCTACGAAATCGTGTCTGATGGGGTTGAGCCTTACCTCCCTGCTAGGTACGACTGATGGGGTTGAGCCTTACCTCCCTGCTAGGTACGACTGATGGGGTTGAGCCTTACCTCCCTGCTAGGTACGACTGATGGGGTTGAGCCTTACCTCCCTGCTAGGTACGACTGATGGGGTTGAGCCTTACCTCCCTGCTAGGTACGACTGATGGGGTTGAGCCTTACCTCCCTGCTAGGTACGACTGATGGGGTTGAGCCTTACCTCCCTGCTAGGTACGACTGATGGGGTTGAGCCTTACCTCCCTGCTAGGTACGACTGATGGGGTTGAGCCTTACCTCCCTGCTAGGTACGACTGATGGGGTTGAGCCTTACCTCCCTGCTAGGTACGACAATCAGCACAAACAGCTTGACGTATTTGGCCGTGCGTCCAAAGTTGGCGGGATGCTTGAGACGGGCGACGGCCACGTGTCGACTCTGCAGCGTCGGTAGCTGGCACCTGCGGACACCGGACATACAACACCAGTCATACACCACCAGTCATTCAGCGCGAGTCCTACATACCCCACTAGTGATGACTGTCACAGAAAATCGGCATACCGATACCAGACCAAATACCAACGAAAACCACATGCAAATACCGAAACCGAAACAACTTGGGAAGATGAGAGAAATACCAACTTTTTGCGAACTCTTACTTTAGTGTAGAATGTAGATTCATACCGGGTGTTCATTAATGAATGGAATAAAGTAGGTAGGCACCAGAAAGATATATTTTCATCTCACGTTATCAAATCACACAATGCATTTTCAAGAGGGTTTATCATTTATGATGACATCATCGCGATCACCGCTTGCCACTTGTGTCTCCTACAGGAAGTGCTCAAAGTAACACCTTCACTCCGCCACGCACGGCTCTGCCCGGCGCTGTGTGTGCCGGACCATCTTCCTCATCTGCTCCTCGTTTATGTTCTGGCGAAGTCCTCCACGACCTTTTTCAGTTCTTTGATTGTTTCCGGCTCCGATTCTACCACGGGATTCAAAGCTTGGGTCCAGAACGAGAAATCCAGGCAGGACAGGTAGGGACTGTATGCGGGCCAGTGCAGATGGGTACCTCCGCGCGAGATGATCCGATCGTTGAACTTCGATCGAGGGAGGCCAATCATGACAGAATCAGGATCATCCATACCTTTCCAATGGACATTTTAAGCTCTTCGCACGCCTGCCGAGCATGAGCTGTGACATTTTTCCGGAAGAAATCCTTGACCTTTTCCATTTCACCAGGGGTCATCGGCTGGCGCCCGGAGCGCACACATGGCCGTGTCGCTGCAACCATCCTAAATCTCTCCACTAAACGCTGAAAAGCATTCAGATGTGGTATGTGGTATTGCTGCTGGTTTTCTAGGAGAGAGCTTAAGGCGGAAAGCCCGTCTAACCACGGTAAGACTTTCCAACCCGGCACAGTTCTCCACAACCCAACCCGCTGGTTCATAATTGAACGGCGAGTTTGTCTTGAAGTGCCGATTTGTTGAAGCGACGTAAATTGTTTAAATGGCTGAAGTTACATAGGGTTGATATTGTTTTTCTTCAAGAAACGCACTCAGATCCGACAGTAGAAAACATGTGGCAGAAAGAGTGGGGCGGCCGAGCACTGTTCGCACACGGGGACTCGAGGAGCCGCGGTGTAGCTATACTTTTCAACCCTAGTGTCAAAGTCGATGTAACGCGTACCATACGTTGTGATAACGGCCGATTTATCATCGCCTGTGTAAATTTGAATAGGTGCGAGATAGTCTTGGTGTGTTCTTATGGTCCAAACGTTGATAATCCTGCAACATTCACCGAATTGCTGAATAGATGTAATGATATTGAATGCACTGAAATGATCTGGGGTGGAGATTTCAATTTTACCATGCAAGATATTGATAGAATGTCAACAGCTCGTAACGTACGCAACAACAAAAAATGCAAGAAAGCTGTAGTGGACTACATGGTCGCAAATAATTTGATTGACATTTGGAGGCATCTTCATCCTTGCAAAAGGGAATTTTCATTCCATCGTTCAAATCCTGCGAGTAAATCGCGCATAGATTTTTTCCTCATTAGCAACTCATTCTAACGCCAGTCTAAGGAACCATATGCTAAAATACTTGACGGTTATCTTGCGGACCATAAGCTAGTCCTTTTAGAGTTGGTCATCGAGCAGCCTGAAGTTGGCAAATCGTATTGGAAATTTAACAACGCCCTGCTAGCGGACGAAAATTTTGTTAATGATGCTAAGGAAAACATTAATTTAATACTGCAGGAAAATGTTTGTAACTCTCATAACCTTCGTCTCCAAACGGTGTTGTGTGTTTTTCGAGGCTGGGTTATTCAGTACTATGCACGGGCCAGAAGGCAGATAGATTTTGATTTAAGAAGTTTAGAAGCAAAAATTAATGCCGCTAACAATGTCACTGAGGAGCCGGACAGTGCAGAGCTGAACCGGATGATTTCAGAGCGAGATAAGCTATTGGAGGAGGTGACCAGAATCAGCATTGATAGGAATCGAGCCCGGTGGAGGCACTTTGCCGAGCGGGGTACGGCTTACTTCCATGGACTTAATACGCGATATCGGGTTCAAGCACCTTTAAAGTGCATGGCTCTGGTGCACTCCGGGGATGGCAGCTATTCGCAGGAAACTTCCAAAATGCTGCTCGAGTGCAAAACATTTTTTGGTGGTCTATATAATCGAAAAGATCGCATAAACGCTGATAGTTTTCTGGCGAACGTTAATTTACCGTCATTGTCACCGGAACAATGTAAGGAACTAGATGGCGAGCTTTCGTTAGACGAACTTAAAGATGCCCTCTTTTCGATGAAAAGCTCTACTAGTCCAGGTCCTGACGGATTCACTGTGCCCTTTTATAAAGCGTTTTGGACAGAATTGGGAGTTCTTATTCAATCAGCGTTAAATGAAAGTTATGAGCGAGGTTTTTTCGCTGAGGAATTACAGAGGAGTGTCACTATATTGATACCTAAGATACATGTATATACGTCATATGCGTACATTTACAATGCTTCATAAGGACATACGTATACACTATACATGCCCACATAAGATATACCTACGTACTAATATATAAAGTAAAACATAATTCACCATAATGCAGCTTGGGGACGTCAAAGTTATTATACCCCCCCCTTCCCCCACCCCCCAGCCACGCGCCGTCGTCTGCCCTTCACGTACGGTTCGTCGCTGCGCTGCGCCGGCCCGGCCGGTGGCTGTTGCCTAATGTACACGTGCAGTATAACCCGGCGGCCTCTGCCCGCGCCGCCGCTGCCGCCGCTGCTGCCTGTGCTGTCGCCGCCGCCTCGCAGCTACTGTGTTTGTGTTTGTGTATCGAGTGTTTGATCACTGAACGCCGGCCTGTGGCGGAGCCCTGAGTTTGCCGAGCACTGGGCCCCCGCCCCTATGACCCATCCGGGCCAACCTGGGTACCGGTCCCAATTGAAAGGGACCGGTCGGCCGCCCGGGCGGGCGGGGCGCCGGCCTGTCGGGTCGGGCCGGCGCTCCCCTCGCCCGGGCGGTGGTTAGGGGGCACCCCCGGGAAAGATGATTTTCCGGGGGTGCGGGCGGGGGCCCGCGGCCCGTTAAAAAAAAAAGACATTGACCTGACGGACATGTCGGTGACCTGTGAGGAGGACGAGGTGTTCCGTAGCGCCGTGCTGACGGCCGTCACAAAGCTGTATCAGTCGCTGTCGCTGGCCACGCTCAGCAGAAATGACTGAGCCGCGCTAGGGTAAAGTGGCTGGTGTGAGAGGTATTAGTGAACTGTGAGACTGAACTGAGCTGGTGAGAAGTGTGACCATGTGAATACCTAGGGAGGGAGGGGAGGGTTAAAGCTGACTGTGTTGTAGACGTGATGCGGAATGTCATGTGTCTCGTTCGGAATGTCAGGTGTCTACACGGGCTGTTGTCTATCATTGTGCGTATTTTTTTTCGGGTCGTTTGAGACCAGTCAAAAGCTCATCTGAAGCATCGTTCATCTGATGCTTCCCCACTATATCGTCATGCAGTGCATTTGTTTTGTGAGAATATCACTGTTGTTCGTAATAAATGCCGGACTATAAAAAAAAAATATTGATACCTAAGAAAAATAAGGATACAAGATTCGTTGAGAATTTACGACCCATTAGTCTGCTAAATGTTCTATTTAAAATATTCACAAAAACCATTGCGCGGCGTGTCTCGAGGGTAATTGGACGTCTAATAAATGGAGATCAAACAGGATTCATAAAGGGTCGCTATATAGCCGAAAACATTAGATTGGTGCTCGATTTGATTACGTTTGCGGCAGAAAAGGAGAAGTGTGGCATGCTTTTGTTCTGTGATTGGGAGAAAGCATATGATTCTCTAAATTGGGAGTATTTGAAGTTCGTTTTGAAGCGGTTCAATTTCGGGGATAATTTCCTCAGATGGATCGACCTGATTTATCCCAGCCCAGACAACCCTCCTCCGAAGGCTCAGTTGCAGATAAACGGCCAACTGTCTGATCCGTACACAATTCTTAGGGGTCTGAGACAAGGGTGCCCACTTAGTTGCAGTTTATTTCTGTTAAGCATTGAGCCCATGCTACAAAAGATTCGGTCCAATCCGTTGATAGGAGGGTTCCACGTAGATAATACTTGCTTTAAAGTGTCTGCATATGCGGATGACACGTTATTCATATTGGATGGTAAGCCATCTTCTTTGCGTAACACGATACAGTGCTTGGAAGAGTTTAATGCAGTTTCTGGTTTGAAATTAAATAGACACAAGACACAGGCTGCATGGATAGGGCGGTTTGCTAGGAGAAAAGAGGGCATCTGTTCGGAATTAAACTTAGAATGGAAGTTTGATGTTGTTGAATACTTAGGCGTCACAGTAACCCTGGACAAACGTGACATGACTTATCTTAACTATTCAAAGAAAATTGATAGCCTTAAAAAGCGGCTGAACCCATGGCTAAGCCATGATTTAACGCCTTTTGGGAAAGTGCATGTATTAAAATCTGAGGCCCTATCACAACTAGTATATCTAATGTCAGTTCTCCCTATGCCCTCACAACAGCTCATTAAGCAGCTGGAAAGAATTATGTTCAGATTTATTTGGGGGAGCACAGAGAAAATAAAACGTTCAACAATGAAAAATTTGAAAAACGAAGGCGGCTTACAGGTTCCAGACATCAGGTCACAGGGGAACAGCTTAAAGATACATTGGGTTAAGAAATTCTTGGACCCAGACTGCACAAGTCCATGGAAGGTATTAATGCACGAAAAGCTTACTATCAGACGAGACATAACAGTATTTCATTGTAACGGCGATAAAAAATGCATCAGTCAAAGGCTGCGCAATGGTTTTTGGGAGGAAGTCGCTGATGCCTGGTATAAATTAGCCGATGATTGTACCCCATCAGGTCGGCAAATTCTCTCCAAGACGATATGGTACAATAAAGACGTAAAATGTAGTAAATCCAT